TCCAATACCAGACTATATTCCTTCACTCTATACCAAATGTAATATATATGGAACCACTTAGTACTTTTCGTACAATTATAGTACACATTCCCGAACCACATCCATATTTCCAGACAACACATGAACAGATACCATGATACCTTAATACCAAATTTCAGATTACAAACACTATCTGTTAACCCAAAACCAAATTGTACGAAAAAGTACTATTTAGTACTTTTCGTTCACTTATAGTCCACATTTCAAAAAACCACCTTTATATATCACAAACCTATCACCAACAAAATTTCAAAATTTCATCTTCGCTCAAACCAAACTTTTCTGAATTTAGTACCATTTAGTACAGTTCGCACACTTAGTACTCATTTCCAAAACCACCTTCATAGCCGTTCGCATAATACCAAATGGTACCATTTTAGACGTTTCAAACCATTTTAGAACTTTTTGTAACCTTTAACTTCGAATTTCTAAAAACCCTTTGGTATATCTATCCCGCTCTCCATCAGAGACCCTCATGACTTTTCGTATCCTTTTAGTACGAATTTCTTGCAATAATTTTTGTATAATTTTTTGATTAAGAAAATTCAAAATTATTTTTGTAACATTTTTCTCTTCCATTTAAGCCAACCACGCTTGGGAAAAACCCTGGACCTAGTTGTCAAGTCGTCCGTGGATATACCCTATTTGGTGTACACAATTATGGGTCATTCGAATATCATTCATGCCGATCGAATTGAATTGCCAGCCGGTCAACGCAGCTACACCATTCAGCTGACACCGTCCATTGAAATGGTGCCCTACGCCTTTGTCTATGTTCACTACATCCGCGATGGAGTTTTGCGCTATGAAGAAATAAAGCTGACATTTCCCTTGGAGTTTGAAAATCTGGTAACTCTGGCATCATTGAATGTTGTCATGTTGTCAAAATTCCTAAAAAAAATTTTACTTTAAGGTTGCAGTCCGGGCACCCAAACAAGTCAAGCCCGGCCAAGAAGTCACTTTGGAATTGAAAGCTCAGCCCAAGTCGCTTGTCGGCATACTGGCCGTTGATTTGGGCGTGTATCTATTGGATCCATCGTATGACCTCCAACGTGATGATATTTTGAAATCATTAATGGATGATGTTTCGTCGGTGCCCTTCCGAGCTCTGGTCTATCCGGGCCTACTATCGGGTGTTATTACCTTCACAAATGCCCATTATGAATATGTACCTCTAACTTGTGAGATTTTACGAATTTATTTGTTGGTGTTTTAGATGGCTTAAAAATGTTTACTTTATGTTTTAGCTCACACTGCAGTCAGCCCCGTCGGCGTTAGTCCTCTCAAATTTCGGCAAAAGTTTCCCGAAACCTGGATTTTTCAAAATTATGAAATGTAAGTTTGCAATGCAATTGGAATGTACATGGGGTATTCTGTCCATGAAATGTCCCTTAAAAATGTATTTCTCCAAAAAAGACCTCAGAGAGGAAGACCCTTTCGTGGACTCTTCTACCTAAATAGGATATTTTTTGCTTTAAAAGGAAAAACATCTCAGGGCGACTTAAAACTCAAGCCGTCCTTCCCATTTAAGGTATCCTCAAGGGTTCTAATCTCCTCAAAATTACCCTTTCCAGTATCTTTTCGAATATGGGCAATATTGAAATTGACCTGTAATTTGAATAATCTGCCTTAGTGCCGCCTTTGTATATGGGTCTGATAATTGATTTTATTAGCATATGCGGTATGGAAGTTTCGCTCATGCTTTGGATTATTAATTTTGTGACCGTGGGTGTGAGAAATTCTGCGCCGTTTTTACTCTCTCATCCTCATGTCTAGGGTATACATCATTTGATACGGCCAAAACGAGTTTCTTAGGAATAACGGTTTCAGACCCTAGGTGTCTTTGGACCAAATCCGCTTTATGACATTTGGAGTCGATCTAGCGATGTCCGTCTGCCTGTCTGTCTGGACGGTGCGCACGATAACTCTCAAAGGGAGTATCCGATTTTGTCTAAACTTGGTACATCGTAATATTATTATAAAACTTAGATCGAGTTCGGAAATGGGCTTTATCGGTCTACTCCTGGACATCTCCCACAAAAAGTCGAAATTAAAAAATATATATATTTTGCTGCAGAGAAAGAGAAAGGATAATCCGATTGGGCTCGCAATATTATTTTCAAATTTAGATCGAGTTCGGAGATTGGTAATATCGGACCACTCCTTTTGGTACCTCTCTCACAAAAAGTCGAAATTAAAAAAAAATACTGCAGAGAAAGAGAAAGGATAATCCGTTTATGCTCCAACTTGGCAAATCCTAATATTTGCTTTAGTGCTTTAGATGGCAGATATCGAAACATCTCTTTTGGTACCTTCCCCACAAAGGGTTAAAGTTAGGAGTAATCAAAACGATTATAAAATCCGAAATAAGCATTTGGTTCTCTTTATATTTCACATATCCCATTATTTCCACTAAGACAAGATCTGCTCTGAAGATGGAATATGTCGGTCCACTTCTTCTGGTACCTCCCCCACAAAGGGTCAACATTTTGAATGTCCAAGAGGCTCTTTAAAGGCGAAATAAACATCCGTTTCTGTTCAGATTTGGCACATCTCAATATTTCTATCAACAAGAGATCTGCTATAAATATTGTAGTGATCGGACCATTCCTTCTGGTACCTCCCCCACAAAGGGTCGAAGTTTTGAATAACCAAAACGATTATAAAATCCAAAATAAGCATTTGGTTCTCTTCGTATTTCACATATCCCATTATTTCTACTAACACAAGATCTAATGTGAAGATGAAATATATCGGTCCACTCCTTCTGGTACCACCCCCACAAAGGGTCAATATTTTGAATGTCCATGAAACTCATAAAACGCGAAATTAACATCCGATTCCATTCAGACTTGGAACATGTCAATATTTCCATCAAGGCAAGATCTGTTATAAAGATGGAAGAAATCGGACTACAATTTCTTCTGGTACCTCCCCCGACAAAGGGTCGAAGTTTTGAATAACCAAAACTTTTATAAAATCCCAAATAAGCATCAGCTGCTCTGCATATTTCACCCGTCCTGTTATTTTTAATAACACAAGATCTACTGTGAATATGTGATATATCGGTCCACTCCTTCTGGTACCTCCCCCACAAAGGGTCAAAAATTTGAATATCCGTGAGGTCTGAGGGTATACATCTATCGGCTAAACCGACTGATACTCTTTAACTTGTTTTTAATTGGTTTAAATGTGAAAAACTTTATTTCTATTTTCCAGTACCGACGACATAACCAACTTAAAATTGGAAATTCCCGAAACCATTACCACCTGGCGTATAACGGCATTTTCGATAAATGAACAGACCGGCTTCGGCATTGTTGATGGCCCAACAGATGTAACAACCATCCAACCGTTCTTCATAAGTCTCGATCTGCCGTATGCGGTGAAACGTGGTGAAATTGTTGCCATACCGGTGCTGGTGCACAACTATCTTGCCACGGAAGTTGACTCAGAAATTACCCTTTTCAATGATGCCGGAGAATTCTATTTTATGGATTCAACAATTTTCAATGCCAAACGTGGTTCCGAGGCTGAGAAACGGATGAAGAGTCTTAAGGTGCCTGCCAATAGTGTTGAAAGTACGGTATTCCTGATAAATCCCAAACAAGTTGGAGAGTTGAGTTTACGTGTGGCCGCGAAAAATCCTCTTGCCGAGGATGGTGTCATACAAAAGCTGCGCGTTGAGCCCGAGGGAATGATTCGGCGTCACAATAAGCCGTTGTACATCAATGCTTTTCCCGGTGAGAAAACTCATGCAACAATCCACATAAGCGTTCCCCACGATGCGGTGCCCCAGTCTGAGTTCATATCGCTCTCGGTGAGCGGCAGCAATTTGGCTCCAACTCTAAAGAATCTCAACGCTTTGGTGCTCATGCCCACCGGATGTGGCGAACAGAATATGGTGAATTTTGCTCCGAATGTTTTGGTCCTACAATATCTAAGGGCCACAGGGAAATATTTCAAAGAGAAGCAGTTGGTGACAAAGGCGAGAGGCTACATTGAAATTGGCTATCAGCAGCAGCTGTCATTTCGTCATGCCAATGGTGGTTACAGTGTCTTCGGCCAGGAGAATGACGAAGAGCCGAGTACATGGCTAACAGCTTATGTTTTGCGATTTTTCATCAAGGCTACCAAATATTTGCCAATGATGGAGGCCAATATCATTGAAAAGGGGTTGATGTATTTGGCTGGCGCCCAACGTATGGATGGCAGTTTTCCCTATACCGGTTATCTTTTCTATCCGGCGCAACAGAATCGTTTCGGATTTACGGCCTTTGTTTTGATGACATTCCTGGAGGATAAGGTAAGAGTCAATCCACCACTCCTTTCCCCGTCGGTAGTGGTTAAAGGTAAGACCTCAATGAAATATTTTCGAGAGACATAAAATGTTTGAGTCACATTCTGGGTATAAAAGACCCTACAGGAGGCCTTGTATAGATTTTATAGGGATATGATGCCCCTTCTTCACCGTTAGATGTCTTCTATAGATGGAATGCCTCTAGAGTACATCCCTTGAGAGGATTTTTTAGATAAAAGATAGATATAAGACTATGTGGGAGATCTTCTATGGATAAAAGACCCCTCGAGTATTTTTCTATGGATGAAAGGTGCCTTGAGAGGTCTTCTTTGGATAAAAACCCCGCCAAAAATATTCTACATATAAAAGACTCCTTGAGATATCCTCTGTGTAAATAAGACCCCTTGAGTAGTCCTATATAGAGAGAGGAGTCTTTGAAAGGGTTTCTATTGATTGAAGGCCAACCTGGAGACAGAGAACTTATTAAGGCGTCTCTTATACACATTAGAGCCCTTCTTTATATAGAGGGCCCCTCAATTAGTCCTCCATAGGGCTTATATAAGTTCAAGACCTACCTGCAAGACTTTCGAAGATATAAGACTTCCGGGGGGATCTTTTATGCATTAAAGAGCCCTTGAGAGGCCTTCTTTTTGGAAAACCCCTTGAATCCTATATAGAGAGAGGAGTCTTTGAAAGGGTTTCTATTGTTTGAAGGCCAACCTGGAGACATTCTTAAGACAGAGAATTTATTAAGACGTCTCTTATACATATAAGAGCCCCTCTTTATAGATGACACCTCGAGAGACCTTCTTTATATAGAGGGCTCCTCAATTAGTCCTCCATAGGGCTTATATAAGTTAAAGACCTACATACAAGACTTTCGAAGATATAAGACTTCCGGGGGGGATCTTTTATGCATTAAAGAGGCCTTGAGAGGTCTTCTTTTTAGAAACCCCCTCGAGAGATCTTTTTTAGATAGAGAACCTCTCTAATAGTCCTCTATATACAGCAGAGCCAATTGCATTGACTCACCAACAGGACTTTTACAGATGCAGAACTTTCTGAGGAGGTCTGTTATATAACACTATTTGAGGTGCTCTCTTATATAAAGGTCTTGAAAGGTATTCTATGGCTAGAAGGTTTCTAAAGGGTCTCTCATACATATAAGTGTCTTCTACAAAGGGGGGCTCTTTTCAGTAGGTCTCCTATGCATATAAGAGCTCTTGAGAGGTTTTCTATAGATAGAATATATACAATATAAAGGGTATCTCTTATACGTATAAGATTTCTTGAGAGGTATTCTATTCTATATAAGATTTTTTGAGGTGCTGTCTTATATATATCAAAGTCTTGGGAGGTTTTCTATAGATATAATATTTTCTGAGAGAGAGGTTTTCTATAGGTAGGAGACATTTGAGGAGGTCTCTTATACATATAAGAGATCTTAAGGGGTATAAGACTTTTTGTAGGGTCTGTTATGCATATAAGAGCTTTTCTATAGAATGAATATGTTTGAGGGGATATCTTATACACAGAAGACTTTTTGAGGGTATATCCTATACGTATAAGATCTTTTAAGAGGTCTTCTATAGACATATATAAGAACTCTTGAGTGGTGTTCTGGAGATATAAGACTGTTTGAGGGGGTCTCAAGAGTTCTGGAGAGGCTGCTTTAGATATAAGATATTTTGGGGAGTGCTCTTATACATATAAGAGCTGGTGAGATAGATGGAAGATATTTGTAGGGAGTCTCTTGTAAATATACATTCTACAGATAAGAGACTTTTTGTGGGGATCTCTTATACCTATGGGAGTACCTGAGAGGTCTTACATAAATAGAAGACTTTCTGCGAGGATATCTTATACATATAAGAGTTCTTTAGAGGTCGTCTTTAGATAGAAGAGTTTTTGAGGGGATCTCTTATATAGAAAGGAGCTCTTGAGAAGTCATCTATGTATAGAATATAGTTTGAGGGGATCTCTTATACAAAAAGAGAGGAGCCCATGAGAGGTCTGATCTTTTATATATAAAAGAGCTCTTGAAAGGTTTTCTTTATAGAAAAGATTTCTCTTATAAATAAAACACATCTTTAGGGATAGAAGATCTCTAATGTAGATTAATGACTCAATATGAGATCTTTTTATAGATAAAAGAGCCTAGGGGGATTTTGGTAGATTGGAGATCACTTGAGGAGTTTTCTTCACATAATGAACCGCCTGTAGATCGGCCTATGATGCAGTGCCCTTTTGGGAGTTGAAAAAAATCCTTTGATAGCTTCACGGTACTTTGAGATTTCTTATAATCAAATCAAAACGTTTATTTTCAGAAATTTGTCCAAAAATATAAGTCGAACATTGATAGAGGTCTAAAATTCCTCCACGATAATTTGGATGCCAATAATGATATTTACTCCCTTGCCATAACCGCTGTGGCAATGCAAATGGCTCAACATGCCGGCTCTGCAAAGGTCCTGGAAAAACTTCTACCACGGAAACAGAGAACCGACGAATACATATGGTGGTCACAAAGTGATCGGGATCATGCCAAAGATGTTGAGATTACTGCCTATGTTCTAATGGCACTGATGTCCGAAAAGCAAAGCCGTAATGCTCGGGAGGAGCAGCGCATCTTCAAATGGCTCACGGAACAGCGCAATGAACGTGGTGGTTTCAAGTCCACACATGATACTGTGGTGGGCTTAGAGGCATTGGTGAAATTTTCCGAGAAATATAATTCCTTGGATTCGCTGAATTTGCATGTGAAATATTTTGCCACAGATTTACGAAAGCAGAAATTGAAAAGTGGAGAATTACAGGTGGATGGCAATAATTTGCTGATCTTACAAACCGAGGAGGTGAGGGGAGATATTTGAGTTGTTTTATATTTTTATTTGTAATTTGGATTTCCAGTTCCCCAAGTCAACCCGCTGCATTGACATTGAGGCCATGGGCTCGGGCAATGCCTTGTTGGAGTTATACTATCACTATTACACCATTTCCGAGGAAAACTTCAAACATTTCCTCATCAAACCCAAGGCGAAAATGCAGAATCCCGAAGAATTACTTTTGGAAATATGTTTGACATATCGTCAAGAGGCGAATTCCATGACTAGTGCAACAAACATGATCATCGTGGAGGCAAATTTACCCTCTGGTTTTGCCACCAATCAAGAGTATGGCAATGAATTGCTGGACAATGAACTGATCGATCGCATCGAATTGAAAAATTCCGATACCACGCTGGTTATGTATTTTGAAAAGTTATCACCAAATGTTGATAATTGTTTCAGCTTTGTGGCTGACAAGCTCAACGATGTGCTGCAGCGTAAGCCGGCCTCTGTGGCGGTCTATGATTATTACAATATAAGTCGTCACGATACGGCGTTCTATAGTATTTGAAATATGTACAATAAAGTTTGTAATAAATAGAAATGTGAAATATATGTGTACATATATATTTTGCAAGAGATAAGCAGAAATAGCTGGGATTTTCTTTAACCTTTGGAATTGCTTGGGAACTAGAGGGATGGGATAATTTATTGGCTTCGGCGTTCATATATATCAATATATACAGAACAAACTATAAATATTTAAAAAATATGTGATGCTGAAATCGATTGATAACACTGAAACCACAAGCCCACATCCCACTTTAGAACATCTATGGTTAATCATTCGAGAATCTCAAAAAGAAATATATATACAGGGTGAGATGAAAAAACTGCAAAAAAGTCAAACCCTATGATTTTTAAATGTTTTTCAAATTTTATTGAATGAAAGCAAAAAAATGGAAATAGCATTAAATTTTAGAATAAGTTTAGATTTGTTCGAATTGGTAACCTTTGGCACAAATTATGGCAAACGGCCAATGAAACCGTCACACGCTGCCCGAATGTTGCTCTACGGTATTTTGGCCCATTTTCGGCGAAGCGCTTGCTTGAGGTGAGGGACACTTTGGTATTTTTTTGGTGGCAAAATTGCTTTCCAAAATAATCCAGACACAATAGTCCAAGTGGATTGGTATCCGGAGATTTTGGTGGCCGTTGTTCGCTGGAAATGAAGTTAGGAACCTCATTTTAAAAGCATTCTTGGGTGGCGCGTACTGAGTTCTGTTGGAATGTCTAAGGTCTGCGGCGAAAATGTTTGCGTGCCAAAGGCTTTAATAACCCTCCAGTATACCTTCGCAATAATATTCGACATTTATTCTGATGCCACGGTCGACTAATACGAGAGGATAGCGCCCATCGGCTGTTATGGCGGCCCCACCATCACCATGACCGGCGCTTGAGTTCTGATGGCCAACCAATGATGAACATTTTCAGCTGACCTCTCTGGCAAGTAAACACGATCATTTTGTTTGTTTACAAACTGCTGGACAACGAATGTTTTCTCATCGGAGGAATCCAAATTCGGCAGATGAAAAAACTGCAACCAACTTCAGACTGCTATCATTTCTAAGCCACTCGTCCGACAGCATTTCAAATTATTTCACTGACAGCTCATTATATTTTTTACAAGCATACAAAAGCATTTTGGTGAGCTGGAAAACCACAAGTGGCTATCGTTAGAGCACTCCAACATTTAAATGTGAATAAATATTTTGTGTTTCGTACCATCGCTCGTAACCATCATAGTGGTAGCGTAGCTCGACGTAAGGAAGTGGACGGAAGAAAACAGCAACATCAGCAGAAATGGTTCGAAACCCGAGTCCCAGTGGCCGAAAAATGGCTAGTGAGCTGAACATATCCCAATATTCCATTCGGCAAATATTGAAAAATGAGCTCGGGGTAAAGCCATTGAAATTCCAAAAAGTGCAAGAACTTACACCGCAACAGAAAGAAAGTAGACTCAAAAGAACTAAAAAGTTGCTTCGCTTGGTCGAAGGTGGTGAACTGACGAATTTGGTTTTTTTCCGTCTCCGTTGTCCAGCAGTTTGTAAACGAACAAAATGATCGTGCTTATTTGCCAAAGAGGTCAGCTGAAAATGTGCACCTTCGGTTGGCCGGCCATGGTGATGGTGTGGGCCGCCATAACAGCCGATGATCGCTCTTCGCTCGTATTAATCGAGGTTCCTCGCTTCATTTCCATCACACAATGGCCACCAAAATCTTCGGATACCAATCCGTTGAACTATTGTGTCTGGAAAGCAAGGTTGGCACTAAAAAATGCCAAAGTGTCGATCACATCAAGCAAGCGTTTCGCCGGGAATGGACCAAACTACCGCAGAGCAACATTCGGGCAGCGTGTGACTATTTCATTGGCCGTTTGGAGGCCAAAATTCGTGCCAAAGGTGACAAATTCGAACAAATCTAAACTTATTCTAAAATTTGATGCTATTTCCGACATTTTTTGCTTTCATTCAATAAAATTAAACAAAAAAAAAAAAAAAAATTTATAAATTATGACGTTTGACTTTGTTACAATTTTTTTTTTGATCGCACCCTGTATAGATAGTGCCAATTAGTACTTTTCCTACAAATATTGTACAAAATTTTAGGATTTCAGCTCAATCCCTTTATCCAATACCAAATTTAGTACCACTTTGTACTTTTTGTACAAACATAGTACACATTACCAAAACTACCGCTATACCTCAACCACAGACACCAACAGCGACATCTATATCTAATTTCACGGTTTCAGCTCCGCCCCTTCACTCAATACTAAATTTAGTACTATTTCGTACTTTTAGTACAGTTAATGTACATATTTCCAAAATCACCTCCATTTCTTAATCACAGACACCAACAGTGACATCAATATAAATTTTCAGGACTCCAGCTCTATGCCTTCACCGAATACCAAATTAAGTACCACTTAGTACTTTTCGTAGAATTATAGTACACATCTCAAAAACCACCTCCACATCTCAATTACAGACACCAACAGAGACCTCAATGTCAAATTTAGGGATCCCAGCCCTATCGTTCCGCATTGCCAAATTCGATACCATTTATTGCTTTCCGAAGCCACCTTCATGTCTTAACTACAGACACTATCAGCGATATCCAAATACCAAATTTATGCTCTATTCCTTCACCCATTGTATCATTTCCTTAATACCACATTTAGTACTATTTAGTACATTTCGTAAAATTAAAGAATATATTTCCAAAATCATCGCCATATGTCCAGGCTACATATGAACATCGACTCTAATACCAAACTCAAGAGTTCCAGTTCACTCAATACCAAATATTACTAAACATAGTACTATTTAGTACCCTTCGTGCATAGCAGTACACATATCCGAAACAATCTCTCTATCGAATCCTACCACTAACAGGAATCCCAATATAAAATTTCAAAATCCTAGCTTCATCCCTTCACCATAAACCAAATTTTGCACCACTTAGTACTTTTCGTCAAATTATTGTACATATTTCCAAAACCACCTCCATATCTTAATAACAGACACAACAGTGACATATGTATCAAATTTTGGGATTTCAGCTCTAACCCTTTAGCCAATTCCAAATTTAGTACCTTTCGTACATGTATAGTAAACATTTCCAAAACTACCTTCATATATTAACTACTGACATCAACAGAGGACTCAGTATCAAATTTCGGAATTCCACCTCTATCAATTCACAGAATACCAAATTTAGCACCATTTAGTACTTTTCGTATATATATATTCCGGACGGTTTTCGAAAGCACCGCCAAATCCTCTAAACATCAAATTTCAGAATTTTATCTCCATCCCTTCTCCCAATGCCATATATATTACCATTTAGTACTTTTCGTACAATTATAGCACACATTTCCGAAACCACCTCCAAATAACAACCCCGGATACCCACCGTGTTCTGAATATCAAATTTCAAAATTTTCCAAATCACTTAGTACTTTTCGTACAATTATGGTACACATTTCCGGAACCTTCTTCATGCCTCATCCATAGACACCAATAATGGAATCTATACTAAATTTCTGGATTTCAGCTCTATCTCTTCATCCAATATCAAATTTAGTACAATTCAGTACTTTTCGTACAATTATGGCGTACATATCTGATATCACTTCTAGGATACACATGATTGGAGAATCTAATACAAAATTTCAGATTTCAAGCATTATCTGTTCACCCAATACCAAATTGTACCAAATATAGTACTTTTTAGTACTTTTCGTACAAAGTGTAAAAAATGTGTACCACACAAATTTCATTTGTGAAAACTTACCACCAACTTGAACCCCAATACAAAATTTCAAAATCCCGGCTCCCGGCCCCAAAACCAAACTGTTCCATATTTAGTACCATTTAGTACAGTTGGCACACATAGTACACATTTCCAAAACCACCTTCATGCATCAAACTTACTTTCCAACCTTGATTCTCATAACAAATGTAATTTTTTTTTGTAGCTCAGTTCGTTTATAAAATGCCAAATGGTAACATTTTCTACGTTTAGTACAATTTTAGAACTTTTTGTAACTTTAGACTTTGAATCTCCAAAAAGCTTTTTGTACATTTATCATGCTCTTCATCAGGTTATATCATTCCAAATTTCAGAATTCAAGCCCATTCCAATACAAAGTATGGAGTTTTTGTACATTTTAGTACTTTTCATACCTATTAAAAAAACACAAACTTTCCAAAGGACAGTATGTTTGTGGTAAGAATTTAGAGCAAAGTTTTTAGTCTTTTCCCAACCGAAGAGAGGTTAGGAGAAAATTGTCTTTTACTACGAATCAGAACGTGCTCTAATTTACATCGCTCTATCTCTCTTCTCTGGGTAATGCAATCGAGGTGCCTGCAATGGCTTTTTCTTATCAGACATTTTTACTGAATTAATCAGTTGAATTCTGCCACTCAAAGTGTTAAGATGTGTAATCGCACCCATTGTCGAATAGTTCTACTGATATTTCTTCAGTTTTACGTACTTCTGGTACAATGCGAAAGGTAATGCCCTTAGGCGAAAATTAACTCTTTTAATTTTGAAAATCCATTCTTTATTTTTCCTATAGTCATTATACAATAATTGCTCCTGGCACCATACGCTCCAATCGCAATTACACCGTTTGCGTTGCCCTGCACAATGCCAGCGAGGAGGCCCACATTAAACTGGACATATTATCCATGGATAGTTCGTTGCATTTGAGTCAAGAAGTCACAGTTCGTCCAAACGAAAGTATATTGACGGATTTTGTAATACCTCAACTTTTCAAACGATTCAGATATCAATTAAGAGCGGAGGGTATCAAGGGCTTGATTTTTAGCGAGAGAAGAAATTTACTTGCTAAGGATACTGGCGGGCCACGGATATATTTGGAAAGTGATAAGGGAACATACAAACCCGGTGATGTGGTACAATTTCGGGTTGTCATACTCAGTGAGCATTTGAAAATGATGAGGATTGTGGAACCGATTCGTGTACAGATACTGGTGAGTGTTGCCTGGCCTTCTGATTTGATCTCTTAATCTATATTTTTTAAAGATCAACAGAAACGTGGATTTTTAAAGAATAATTTTTTCAAGGATCAACAGAAACGTGGAGTTTTTAAAGAATATTTTTTCAAGGATCAACAGAAACGTGGATTTTTTAAAGAATATTTTTTCAAGGATCAACAGAAACGTGGATTTTTTAAAGAATATTTTTTCAAGGATCAACAGAAACGTGGATTTTTTAAAGAATTTTTTTTCAAGGATCAACAGAAACGTGGATTTTTTAAAGAATATTTTTTCAAGGATCAACAGAAACGTGGATTTTTTAAAGAATATTTTTTCAAAGGATAAATAGAAACGTGGATTTTTTAAAGAATATTTTTTCAAAGGATAAATAGAAACGTGGATTTTTTAAAGAATATTTTTTCAAAGGATAAATAGAAACGTGGATTTTTTAAAGAATATTTTTTCAAAGGATAAATAGAAACGTGGATTTTTTAAAGAATATTTTTTCAAAGGATAAATAGAAACGTGGATTTTTTAAAGAATATTTTTTCAAAGGATAAATAGAAACGTGGATTTTTTAAAGAATATTTTTTCAAAGGATAAATAGAAACGTGGATTTTTTAAAGAATATTTTTTCAAAGGATAAATAGAAACGTGGATTTTTTAAAGAATATTTTTTCAAAGGATAAATAGAAACGTGGATTTTTTAAAGAATATTTTTTCAAAGGATAAATAGAAACGTGGATTTTTTAAAGAATATTTTTTCAAGGATCAACAGAAACGTGGATTTTTAAAGAATATTTTTTTCAAGGATCAACAGAAACGTGGATTTTTTAAAGAATATTTTTTCAAGGATCAACAGAAACGTGGAGTTTTTAAAGAATATTTTTTCAAGGATCAACAGAAACGTGGATTTTTTAAAGAATATTTTTTCAAGGATCAACAGAAACGTGGATTTTTTAAAGAATATTTTTTCAAGGATCAACAGAAACGTGGATTTTTTAAAGAATATTTTTTCAAGGATCAACAGAAACGTGGATTTTTTAAAGAATATTTTCAAGGATCAACAGAAACGTGGATTTTTTAAAGAATATTTTTTCAAGGATCAACAGAAACGTGGATTTTTTAAAGAATATTTTTTCAAGGATCAACAGAAACGTGGATTTTTTAAAGAATATTTTTTCAAGGATCAACAGAAACGTGGATTTTTTAAAGAATATTTTCAAGGATCAACAGAAACGTGGATTTTTTAAAGAATATTTTTTCAAGGATCAACAGAAACGTGGATTTTTTAAAGAATATTTTTTCAAGGATCAACAGAAACGTGGATTTTTTAAAGAATATTTTTTCAAGGATCAACAGAAACGTGGATTTTTTAAAGAATATTTTCAAGGATCAACAGAAACGTGGATTTTTTAAAGAATATTTTTTCAAGGATCAACAGAAACGTGGATTTTTTAAAGAATATTTTTTCAAGGATCAACAGAAACGTGGATTTTTTAAAGAATATTTTTTCAAGGATCAACAGAAACGTGGATTTTTTAAAGAATATTTTTAAGGATCAACAGAAACGTGGATTTTATTAAGGAATTTTATTTTTTCCTTTTTAGGACCCTCTAGGCAATCGCGTGAAACAATTCAAAGATATACAACTGAATCGTGGTATATTTACCGGGAAATTCCAACTGTCACAGCAACCTCTGGCGGGTACCTGGTCCATATTGGTTCACATCAGCGGCAAATACAACCAGGATAAGAAGTACACATTTCAAGTGGAACGATATGTTTTGCCAAAATTTAGTGTGCACCTGGAAGCACCAAAAGATTTAGTGGAATCGGAACGTTTTTTGCCGATTACCGTTTACGGAAAATATACCTACGGCCGTTATGTTAAAGGCACGGTGAAAATTGTCGGAACCATACATGACACAACCATTGCAGAGGGAATTGTCATTGACGAAGATTCTAAAGCCGAACTGAAGATTGATTTGGAAAAACTGACCCTCACTCGTTACGATCTCAATTTGGCATTGAAAGCTTTTCTGGAGGAAAAATATACGAACATTACGGCCGAGGCCAAAAGAGTTGTGAATATTCGCAAGACACGTTACAAGATGAACATTTTAGATCGCGACATTGAATTTCGCAATGGAAAACCGTATCGTATTGGGGTGCATGTCGAGCATTGGAATAATAGTATTGTCAGAGATATGAGCAACCCCGTTGTTATGGAATTTAAAGGTGTCAATTATACTTCGTTTTTGACCGAAAATGGGGTGGCTAGATTTACACTCCAGAATGATGCCGGAGAAGATGATATGTTCCAATTTTGGTATAAGGATACGGGAAAAACCTATCCGAGTGTAGACATTGTACCTCCGCAACCGATGAGTTGTGTTCTTCAAACGGATACGGATAAGTAAGTTTTTTTTTTATTAAGAAATAGTGAAATGTAGGGTCTTCAAGGTCTTTTGGAGACCATAGAAGACCTTAAGGTCTTCTAGAGACCGTAGAATAAATCAAGGTCTCCTAGAGGAGTTCTAGAGACTGTAGAAGTGCTTAAGGTCTTCTGGAGACCATAAAAGACCTCAGGGTCTTCTAGAGACCATAGAAGACCTCAAGTTTTTCTGGAGACGACAGTAGATATATTTGGTCTCTTAGAGGCCAAAGAAAATCTCAGGCTCTTATAGAGACCATAGAAGACATCAAGGTTTTCTAGATACAGTAGAAGACTTGAAGGTCTTCTAGAAACCATATAAGACCTCAATCTTTTCTAGAGACCATATAAGACCTCAATCTCTTCTAGAGACAATAGAAGACCTCAAGCTTTTCTAGAGACCATAGAAGATCTCAAGCTCTTCTAGAGCCAATAGAAGACCTCAAGCTCTTCTATCGACCATAGAAGACCTCAAGTTCTTCTATCGACCATAGAAGACCTCAAGCTATTCTATAGACCATAGAAGACCACAAGCTCTTCTAGAGACCATAGAAGACCTTAACCTTTTCTAGCAACCATAGAAGATCTCAAGCTCTTCTAGAGACCATAGAAGACCTCAAGCTCTTCTAGGACCTCAGGAAACTTCAAGCTCTTCTAGGATCTCAGGAGACCTCAAGTTTTTGTAAAGACCACCGAAGACCTCAAGCTCTTCTATTGACCAAAGAAGACCTCAAGTAGCATGACATCTGAAGTTCTTCTATTTTCTATAGAAGACGATAATATCATCTATGGACAGTAAGAGTCCTCAAGAATATCTATGGACTTCAGGCGGCCCTGTGTCTTTTTTGGTATATTTTTTCCATGTCCTTTATCCTCTTGCAGCTTTAAAGATTTCAGTAAACCTCTCGAAATCAATGTTACATCAAATGATCCCATGCCATTTCTAATGTACACTTTAACTGGTCATGGAAATATTGTACGACAGGAAAAGCTCCAATTGCAGGACCAAGTCAAATCCCATATCATCAAAATTAGACCCTCAATTGAAATGATACCCAATTCACAACTCTTGGTTTTCTATATCGACAAGGGCCTTTTCAAATATTGTGAAATGACAATTCATTTGCCGAAGACATTCGAAAATAAGGTAAGTCTTGCCATAAGTGATTCCAATACAAGCCACGTTTGCATTTCGAACTCCTTTCAGTTATCCCTTGTGGGACCAACACGCATAAAACCTGGCCAGAACATTACCCTGAATTTGAAAGCCCAGCCGAATTCTCTCGTCTCAATAACAGCTGTCGATAAAAGTGTTCTGCTCCTCAATTCGAAGAATATCCTACAAAAGGATATCATTATGAATGATTTATTGGATGATAAGTCATATACATCGCCTGTTATTAGGGGAAGTACCTCCGCTCTGTCTTCGCCGGATGTCCAAACCGGTTTAGTGATTTTAACGAATGCGAAACATGAGAAATATAGCTTTTGTGAGTAGAACGAATAAGTTGAACATTATTTTTACAACAGTTACATTTATTAATTTAAGTGGAAATTGAGAAAAGTTCTCTGGATCAGATGTATTATCGTGTTGATTTCCCGGAGACCTGGCTTTATAAAGATCTTGAAATGTAAGTAGACCCTCATCGAAAATTCATTTAAAAACTTTACTTAAGACCTCAAACTGTTTTATGCACGATAGAAGACCTCAAGTTCTTCTATGGCCGATAGCAGACCTCATGTTCTTCGATAGCAGCCCTCTAGCTCTTCCATGGCCCATAGAAAACCTCACAGCTCCTCTATGGGCGATAGAAAACCTCACAGCTCCTCTATGGGCGATAGAAAACCTCACAGCTCCTCTATGGGCGATAGAAGACCTTAAGCTTTTCTAGAGACCATAGAAGACGTCAAGGTCTTCTAGAGACCATAGAAGACCTCAAGGTCTTCTAGAGATGATAGAAGACCTCAAGGTCTCCTAGAGGTGATAGAAGACCTCAAGCTCTTCTAGACCCATGGAAGACCTCAAGCTCTTCTAAACACCATAGAAGACATCAAGATCTTCTAGAGACCATAGCAGACCTCAAACTCTTCTAGAGACCATAGAAGACCTCAAGCTCTTCTAGAGACCATAGAAGACCTCAAGCTCTTCTAGAGACCATATAAGACCTCAAGCACTTCTAGAGACCATACAAAACCTCAAGCTCTTCTAGAGACCATAGAAGACCTCAAGATCTTTTAGAGACCATAGAAGACCTCAAGCTCTTCTGGGGACCATAGAAGATTTCAAGCTCTTCTAGAGACCTCAGGGTCTTCTATAGACCATATAAGGGGTCCAGGTCTTCTAGATATCATTGAAGACCTCAAGCTTTTCTATCGGCCATAGAAGACCTCAAACTTCTCTAGATACCATAGAAAGCTTCAATATCTTCTATAGGCCACAGAAGACCTTCTCCGCTCTTCTATGAGCGATAGAAGACCTCATAGCTCTACTATGGACGATAGAAGACCTCACTGCTCTTCTATGACGATAGAAGACCTCACAGCTCTTCTATGGATGATATAAGACCTCACAGCTCTTCTATGGTCGATGGAAGACCTCGCAGCTCTTGTATGGGCGATAGAAGACCCCATAGCTCTTCTATGGGCGATAGAAGACCTCGCAGCTCTTCTATGGGCGATTGAAGACCTCACAGCTCTTCTATGGGCGATAGAAGACCTCAGGCACTTCTATGGCCGATGGGAGACCTCAGGCACTTCTATGGACAATAGAAGATCACAAGCTCTTTTTTTGAAATAAATGTTAATTTCCCTTAGCACCCAACCCAACACCCCTCTGACCGTTAAAGTTCTCGACACCGTCACCACCTGGGAACTAAGAGCATTCTCTGTTAACGACGAGACTGGCTTTGGCATGTTAGAAGAAAATCTGGAAATCGAAGCTTTTCAACCATTTTTCATCAGTGTCAATCTTCCGTATGCGGTTAAGCGGGGTGAGACGGTTAAGGTACCCGTGACAATATTCAATTATTTAAGAGAGCAACTCCAGAGCAATGTATCAATGATTGGGCGGAGTAAGGATTTTGAATTTGTTAATGAGGGAAATGTTGCAGGTGCTGAGCAAAATGAAACCAAAAGATCCTTGATGCTGGACATTCCGGCTAATAATGCCAGAAGTGGCATCTTTATGATACGCCCCCAAAGAGTTGGCCTCATTGACATTGAAATAACAGCTACCAGTGGTGTCGTATCCGATCGTGTGCTACACAAGTTAAAAGTTGAACCCGAAGGTGTGGTACACAATCGTAAACAGGAAGTACTGATATCCTTGTCACAGATAAAATCGAATCAGACCACATTTCAGGCTGAAATACCTGCCGACATTGTACCCGACTCGGAGTATTTACAATTGACCGTGAGTGGTGATGTCATGGGTAGCACTTTGGAAAATTTAGATAATCTGGTACAAAAGCCCAAGGGATGTGGGGAACAGAATATGATTTATTTGGCACCGAATATTTTAATAATGGACCATCTCCAGTCGCTGGAGGAGCGGATGATGGCGACTAATGCTAGCAGTGGTTTAATGGAAAAGGCGAAACAATTTCTCGATGTTGGCTACCAACAGCAGTTGGCATATCGCCATTCGACGGGAGGCTATAGTGTTTTTGGTCCCGACTCCAGTACGGAAAGTAATTGGCTGACGGCCTACACCACCCGTTTCTTTATCAAGGGTCAACAGTATTCGGCCATTGAAAATGTTTACATTGAAGATGCCCTCAAATATCTGAGCCAGCAGCAGCTGGACGATGGTAGTTTTCCTCATCGGGGGTTTCTTTTCGAACCAGCCCACCAGAATCGATTTGGCTTCGCGGCCTTTGTCCTGCTGACTTTTCTGGAGAGTCCGGTGGGGAATCTATGATTTTCAATTTTGGCATAATTTAAAAAAACTCTTCCTTTTTTTCAGAAATATGCCCGGAAATATCGCAGTACAATACAAAAAGGAATGACATTTTTAAATGAAAATTTCAAGGATGTACAGGATGTGTACTCTTTGGCAATAATGGCAAATGCCTTTCAAAAGGCTGGCAATAGTAGCAATGCCTCTGAGATTCTGCAGAAATTGAAATCTCTATCCCAGCAGCGCAATGGATTGATGTGGTGGACCAACAATCTAAAATCGGAAGAAAGTGCCAATGATGTGGAATTGACTTCGTACATCTTGATGGCCATGTTGGAGACATCACCGGCCCGAGATTGTTTGCCCATATTTAATTGGCCTACGTTGTGGGCCTACAGGCCTTAATAAAATACGATTCTTTGATGGGGAAATCTGGTGATAGCGTAGAGACCCAACTGAAGATACATTATGTGGCCAAGACCGCCCAAGGATCTGTGGCAAAGGAAGGTATATTTGGCATTGAAACTGGCAATGAAATTATACTTCAAAAACAAGAGGTAAGGACGTGTGGAAGATCGATTAAAAAATATTCCTAAGAACTATTCACCACTCTATAATCCTTTAAAAATAAAAAAAAATGAAAAGACCTAAAAGTACCTTCATTAGAAAACCACAAGTCTTGACCTTGAAAAAACCTTGAAAAATATTTTAAAAAATATATTTTTCTTTTATTTTCAAGCAACCTCTAAAAATATTACAAAAAAATATATATTTTATACCTTTATTTTCCAGCTACCTAATAATGTGCGCTCTGTTGATGTAGAGGTGATGGGCCAGGGTCGTGCCTTTCTTCAATTCAACTACCAGTATTATACATCAAATCTAACCTCTCCAGCCACCACCATCGTTCACCCACCCCTTCACCCTTCCACTACCCAACGACCAATCCAACCGAAAGAATCAAACGCCATACCCCAAACCCTAGCCCGAGTTGTTCATGAATATTTCAACATAACCGCCAGTGGCAACATAACCTCAAAGGTCACCATGTCCCTGGATGTATGTTTCAGCTATAAACCTCAAACGGAAGAAGAAAAGGAGTCGAATATGGTCATACTCCAAATCAATCTGCCATCCGGATACATTGCCAACAATGACAGGACCATGAAATTGAAAGACTCGGTGGAAATTATTAGTAAAATTGATATACAACAGTCGGGAACTCTGCTGGAAATATATTTTGAAAAACTTGAGGCCGATGAAGAGCAATGCCTCGTTTTAAATGCGGATAAAAGTCAGGATGTTGGAGAACTTAAGCCGACGTTAATTGAGATCTACGATTATTACAACGATCGGCGGCGTACAAGGATATTTTATGAACTGAAAGGATGAGGGAGGCTGGATTAGGGGAAAATTCACATTTGGAATAATTCAATTTTTTGAAATAATGAAATAAAATTAAAAAAAATATATATATAAAAGACCGGTAGATCATGAAAAAATATTTTAAAAAAAATCTACCAGACTCGTAGATCATTGAAATAAAAATTCCAAATTTATAAAAAAATCTGATAAACTTTGGATTTTCTTTTTTTTTTTAAATCCCATTAAATTCACATGTCTCGAAAATCATTAATAAATATTTTAAAGAATCCGTGAAACTGGCCCACCTGAAAACATTTAAATAAATATAAAAAAATATAGGACTCTAGCGGTTTTGCCAAATTTTGGCATACAGGGTTGCCCATATTCGACGGACCCATCTGGCAACGCCATAACTTTTGACAGAGATGTCACATCGCTTAATGACATACCGCGTTTGAAGCGTCAGTCCAAGCAGATTTTTAGTTGAAATTTACAAGAAGTCAATTGTGAAAACTCAACGTGCTTTTAAAACATTAAAAAATGTGAGAAGTGCGTCTTCTAAGAACACCATTAAGCGTTTATAGGAAAAATTTTCGACTGGTAAGGCTCTTTCTAATCCAAAGAGGCCATATAAAAGTCGACAAAGGCAATCGGCCGAGAATATCGCTGCCGTACGACCTAGTGTTTAGAGGTCCCCAAGAACATCCCAAAAACGCCGTTCTCAGCAGTTGGGCATGGCTCGGTTCACTTTACATCGGATTATTCGCATTGATTTGCATTTGTTCCCGTACAAAATTCAATTGACGCAAAGAATGTTGCCTGCGGACAAGCCTCGTCGATTGGAATGGGCCCAAAGGTCCGTCGAATATGAAAAAAGACCTCAAAATCAAATTTAACGATTTATGCCCTATCCCTTTACCCAATATCAAATTTAGTATAATTTTGTTACTTTTCGTACAAATATAGGAAGCATTTCCGAAACCAACTCCAAATCTCATTCCAGGTACCAACAGAGATCTCAATATCCAATTTCGGGATTCCAACCCTATCCCTTTACCCAATACCCAATTTCATACCATTTAGTACTTTTCGTACAGTTATAATACAGATTTCAAAAAACGCCACCAGATACAAACAGAGACATCAATTCAAGATTTCAAGCCCCATCCATTTTCCCAATAAGAAATTTAGCACCATTTAGTACTTTTCGCACAAAAAAAATGTATTTTCAATCCACCGCTAAATCTCAGACGCAGATTCCATCAGTAATCTAAATATAAATGTTATCTCTATCCTGTCACTCAATCCCAAATGTAGTACCATTTAGTACTTTTCTTTCAATTATGGTACACATTTTAAAAATCACCTCTATATCTCAATCCCAGATACCAACATAGATTTCAATATCGAATTTCAGGATTTCAGCTCTATTCCTTCACCCAATACCAAATTTAGGACTATTTAGTACTTTTCGTACAATTATAGTACACATTTCCGAAACCAGTTCCAAATCTCAATCCCAGGGACCTCCATATCAAATTTGAGGATTAAAGTGCCATTCCTAGACCAAACAACAAATTTAGTACCATTGGGTACTTTTCGTACAATTATAGGAAGCATTCCCAAAACCACCTCCATATCTTAACGACAGACACCAACATCTTTATCAAATTTTCACATTTCAGCCCTATCTTTTCACCCAATACCAAATTTAGTACTATTTAGTACTTTTCGTACAATTATAGTACATGTTTCCGCAACCACTTCTAAATCTCAATCCCAGGTACCAACAGAGACATTAATATCAAATTAAAGGATTTAAGTCCCATCAAATCACCCAATAATAAATTTAGTACCATATAATACTTTTCGAACAAATATCTGACGCATTTCCGAAAACCAACTCCAAATCTCAGATACTGATGCCACCAGTAATCTAAATATAAATTGTATCTTTATCCCGTCACCCAATACCAAATATTGTAACATTCAGTAATTTTTGTACAATTATAGGACACATTCCCATAACCACCGCACTATCTTAACGACAGGCACCAACTGTGATACCTATATCCAATTTTATAATTCTATCTCTATTTGTTCCCCCAATACCAAATATAGTACCATTTCCGAAACCAGCTTCATATTTCCAGGCTACACATGAACAACAAACCTGGTACATTTTTAAGAACTATCTGTTCACCCAATACCAAATTGTAACATATATAGTACGATTTTGTACTTTTCGTACACTCGTAGTAGGTATTTGCAAAACCAGCTTTTTATCACAAAGCTATCATCAACAGGGACCCCACTACAAATTTTCAAAATTCCAGCTAAATCCGTTCAACCTTAACCAAACTGTTTCAAATTTAGTACCATTTAGTACAGTTCCCTCACTTAGTATACATTTCCAAAACCATCTTCATATATCAAACCTACTTTTCATCCTCCGTTCACATAATACCAAATGGTACCATTTTTAAGTTGAGTAACATTTTCCAAATTTGAAGTTGAATTTTCAATAACCCTTTGATGCCTTTATCCCTCCATCAGTGATTCTTATTACTAATTTCAGAATTCCAGTTCCATCGGTTCAACACAATTCCAATTTTTATCAAATTAAGTACGATTTAGTACACATAAGTACGAATTACCTTCCTACATATCCCAATGGTATACTCCAACAGTAATCTCAATTCTTAAGCTTAGGACTCCACCCCTTTTGGTTCGCCGAATACAAATTGTACTTTATTTAGTACATATAAGTACATACTTCCAAAACTACTTACATATCACAATCCTATACAAAGAGAGTAATCTTATTTCCAACTTTCAGGAAATATTCACAATTACCTCCATCATACAGTCCAAAATTTACATTGTACCAAATGTAGTACCATTTAGTGCACACAAGTACGAATTTCCAAAATATCATACATACCCCAATCCTACATTCCCACAGTAATCCAATTCCAATTTTAAAATTCCTTCTCTCTTGGTTCGCCCAAATGCCAATTGTACTTTATTTAGTACATTGTAGTACATATAAGCACAAAATTTCAAAACTACCTACATATCCCAATAATACACTCCGACTATAATCTTATTTCCAATTTTCATAATACCATTGGTTCACCTCAATCCAAATTGTATAAAATTTAGTACCATTTAGTACACTCAAGTGCAAATTTTCACAACTACCGCCATCATACCTTATAAATAATAATCTTATTTTCAAATTTCAGAATTCCAACACGACTGGTTGACCCAAAATTTAAATTGTATCAAATTTAGTCCCCCTTAGTTCCACAATGCATTAGTAATTCTATTTCAGGATTCCAGCTCTAATGGTTCAAAAATACAACATATTAAGTACACACATTTCCATAAGAATGTGCACTGTACAACCCGGATTACAGCCCTATTGGTTTACCCAAATCCAAATTGTACCATATTAAGCATTATTTAGTACACATAATTACGAATATCCAAAGTTCACACATACCCCAATCCTACACTCACACTGAAATCCCCGTTCCAAAGTTTAGCATTCCATCCGTATCGGTTCGTCTAAATACGAAGTGTACCAAATTTAGTACCATTTGGTACATCATACGTACGAATTTCCAAAACTACCTACATTTCTCAATCCTATAATCTTATGTTTAAATTTCAGAATTCCAAATCTATTGGTTCTCCCAAAATCGAAATTGTACCAAATTTAGTACCATTTAGTACTTTTCGTACACATAAGTACAAATTTCAAAAACTTTCAGCATATCCCAATCCGCTACACTCCGCCAGTAATGTTAGCTCCAAATTTCAGTATTCCAATTCCATCCGTTCCTCCAAATTCAAATTGTACTAAATTTAGTACCGTTTAGTGTTTTTCGTATACATGAGTACACACTTCCAAAACAACCTCCTTACATCGACTCTATTCCTCAACCATGATTTTCATTCCAAATTTCAAATTTTTAGCTCTTAGCGTTCACATGATACAAAATGGCACGATATATGGTACATTTTGGTACTTTTCGTACACTTATAGTGCGAATTTCCAAAAATCCTTTGGTACATCTATCATACACTCCATCCTTGACCCTAATTGCAAATTAAATAGTTCTACCTCTACTGTTTCCTCAAATGTAAAGGGTACTGTATTTAGTACAATTTAGTACTTTTTGTACTTTTAGTACGTAATTGCCAAAAATCCAGCCTTATCTGACCCTTTGGGACCCAGAATGACCCTCAGCCAAAATTTCATGATTCTATCTTCAGCCGTTTTGTCTGGACTTTAATGAATCTTTAAGTCTGTCAGTCAGTTAGTTACTTTACTCTCTTTTAATACCCTCCACCATACATACTCGTAGTATGGAGGGTATAAAAAGTTCGTCATTCCGTTTGTAACTCATAGAAATAATCATTTTAGACATAACAAAGAATATATATTCTTGATCAGCGTAAAATTAAGAAACTATTTAGCCCGGTCCGTCTGTCTGTCTGTTCGTCTGTTGTAATCACGCTAGAGTCAAAGCAAATAAAGATAGGAAGCTAAAATTTTGTACAGATCAGTCTTTTTTCTGCAGACAGGTCGAGTTGAAAGATGGGATATATCGGTCCACCATATCATATGGCCTCCATGTTACTGTACCCCCGTTATTCAGTATTTTGATGATTGCAGCTAATTCGGTACTCGGTATTTTGATGATTTTAGGGACATTATTCATCGGAGTTGTTTCAAATTTCGTATTTAGAGTTCGTTAAGGGTACTACAGCCTATGACAAAAAAAAATCGTATGCAGGTCCACGTTTTTTTTATAGCCCCCGCATATCGGTACCTACCCATATTCGGAATTTTGCGGATTTTAGCGACATTCTTCACTTGAATTGTTTTACAGATTGTGACGGAAAATTGTCTATGCAAGTCCAGGTCTTCGTTTAGACCCGATAGCCCCTCCCTATATTTGGTATTTTGACGATTCACCGGAGTTGTTTAAAATTTTGTATTTAGAGTTCGTAATGGGTACTACAGTCTATGACAAAAAATTGCCTATGCAGGTCCAGGTCTTCGCATTGCCCCCAAACATATCGGTACCTACCCATATTCGGAATTTTGCTGATTTCTTCATCGAAATTCTTTCAAATTTCGTATTTGAAGTTCCCAATAGGTACTACAGCCTGTGACGGAAAATTGTCTATGCAGGTCCAGGTCTCCGTATATTCGCGATATGACGGTACCTCCCTATATTCGGTATTTTGCTGATTTCAGCGACATTCTTCACCGGATTTTGTTTCAAGTTTCGTATTTGAATATTGTAATGGCTTATGACAAATTTGCCTATGCAGGTTCGTGTCTTCGTATAGACCCCAATATTATGGCTATAATCGCTTTTTTTTAGATTTTAACAGAATTTTTAACGGATTTTATTTTATTTTTTTTTTTTTTTTTTTGAATATTTACTAATTCCTTCAAAATTGTGGAGGGTATTCAAAGTTCAGCCTGGCCGAGCTTTCTGCTTTTTCACTTGTTAATATAGATATAGCTTTAATTTTTTACATCGAAATTATATACATATACATTGATACATACAATCATTATTTCAACTCATACAAGATCGTTGTTCGACGCTTATCATTATAGAAATCATACATGTCGATTTTTGTCGGCTTAAGGCCGGCAACATCGTGGACCTTGTCGGCCACAGCCGTCAGACACTGTTCATCGTTGGCCGAGAGCTTTTCAAAATAAATCGCTATCAATGTTTCCGAATTTTGACTATCGACACGACTGACTTGCTCTTCATCTCGCAGACGGTCAAGATTTTCTCCATTTGCAATATATCCCGATGGGAAGGTGATCTCCAGAATAACCATATTGGTGAGCTTTTCCTCCTCGGTATAGGGTCGATAGGAGTAGCATATTTCCAAGGACATGGCATTGGGCGACGAAATTTTTGCCTGGGGTTTTATATTGAAATATTTATGGACCAAAGCGGATGCGAGGGGAGGTTGTGCGCCGCTACCAAGATGTGATGCTAAAGCTGGTATGCGAGAAGATCCGCTGGTGGGTTCACCCATACGTGGACGATAGAATATGGGTGTTCGTTCAGATGTTAGGGGTGGTTGGCGAGAAGTTCCGCTGGTGTGTTCAATCATACGTGGGGGAAAGGATATGGGTGTTCGTTCAGATTCTCCCGTCGCTAAGGTTCCACCGGGTCCTGTAACGTCTTGGGATGTGTAATATCTATAGGAAAGTTGTACATAAACGCGACCATTGCCCCTGATTTCAACTGCCACAGAGCGTATGTTGCGGGGTAACTGTTAAAGAGAGAAAGAGAGAGAAAAAACAATTGGGTGCCATTTGAAAATAAAATTAGCAATTCTTACCTCTTCCTTTTGCAATATTAGCTCATTATCTAATCCCACCGTGAAAGTGCCTTCCTTACGCGTCTTCCCCTCCCCACACTTTGCCACAAAGTAAACTTTAATGTCGGTGTTTTGAATCTGTGACGATTTCTCAATGAATTTAATGAGAGCCTGCAGACCAACAACTGTGTCTTGTGTGGACCCAAAACCCCCATTGGCGTTGCGTTGTTTCAACAACCAATTGTATATGGCTGTGCTGTCTTCCTGGGACGATGACTCAAGCAGGGCCATTAGGATATACGAGGTAATTTCAACATCATTGGCACTTTCTTCGTTTTTATTGTTTTTTGTCCACCATTTAAGGTCGTTGTCTTGACGTGCTATTCGCTTTAATTTTTCCAGTATGGTATTGGCATCACTGCTGCTACCAGCCTTTTGAAATGTATTCGCCATAATTGCCAGGGAATAGGTGTCCTTCACCTTATTCAGGTTATTTTTCAAGTAGGTTATTCCTTTTTGGATAAGAGAGTTGTATTTTTTGGAATATTTCTGAAAAAAAAAAATGAATTAAATAAAAAATAAAAAAATTAATAAAATGAATTAATGAAATGGTCTGCAAATATTTTTTGCAGAATCTTGAATAACACTTTGCCAAAAAAAAAAAAAAAACAAGTAAGCAAAGGCTACAGTCGAGCGGGGCCGACCGTTGAATACCCTACAACACTATAATAAACCATACAGTTTATATAGGCGAAATACTCGACAAATAATAAAAGAAAACCATCAGGCTTCGTTCTCTATTTTTCGAATAATAGCGACTTTAACTAATGTGCTAATTTCCAATTTATTGGTAGATGTTGCACGTAAATGGTCTTCCTAGATCTGGAATCAATATTTCCCAAAGACCCATAATCTCTCAGAAGTGGCAAAAGATTAACATTTATTGTTGGTTTTTGACTGAAACGCATCTATATGAGATACAGACATTTGACTATATTCTTCAACGAAATCAGCGTTAACGAAATAGTCGGAAGTGTGTATTTCCTGTATTTGTGAATTCCCCAAAAAGTCACTGGAATGGACATTTTCGTATTTTGTCTATAAAAGTTGCAAACTCCTTCACACATTGAATATTTTTGGATGGCCATCCGAAACTGCTTGGCTTTTGCAATGTGCGGTAACCCCCATTTAAATGTGCGTGAGGATTGGGCGACAATTTTGCAGTTTTTTGGTCCATTTCAACCCCTAAATATATGGCGATCATCTCCAAAAAGAGTAGGCTTCTATTCTGACCCTCATCTTATCCCCATGCAAATGAGATCGTAAGGATCGGGTCATAAATGAGATCTGTATATGATATCCTGATATCCTAACTACTAAGTTTTGTTAGCTGTCGAAATATTACCAAATGTTTAATTCAAAATGAAAATATGCCAAAAATATGACAAAATTGAAAAAATATGAGAAAATTTTACAAAATCAATATTTTCATCATTAGAGAGATATTTTTATGCGATTTTTTAGGCGTTTTTTCTTTCCTGCCAAGAGGCCATTCTGAATTAATGAGAACTGTCGAAATCAGTTCAGCCGTTCTCCACATATAAGAGATCTTTCAAGCATATCTTCATTTGATATACATATATATGGCACATATTTTGTTATATATCCGATTTGTTGGATAATAACATCAATGTAAAGGTCAGAAGTAACCTTGTGATGGCTTTGTGATTTCGCCGGGATTTAATATATTCACGGTTTAATGAAAAATTTTGATTTTTTTCAACACAAAAGATGGTCTATTTTACCCGCTAAATATTATCCGATGACCACCCAAATTAGTAGGCTTCTTCCCCGCCCTAAACTCTATCTACACGCGAAATTTCGCGTCGATTGGTCTATAATTGCGACCTGTATAGCTACTGCAAAATCCGAAATTTTTCCAGTATTTGGTCCATTTCAACCCCTAAACATTTGGCGATCATCTCCAAAAGAAATAGGGTTCTATTCTGGTCCAAGCCCCACCTACATTCTAAATTTCGTGAAGATCGGGCCATAATTACGACCTGTAGAGTGATTACAAATTAACATGGACAGAAGGACAGACGGACGGACGGACATACATAGCTAGATCGACTCAGCTCGGCGAGCTAGGAAGATCCATATATACTTTCCTATGTGGGAAATCAATTTTTCGAGGCGTTACATAATTTTTGGCCCAATCAAAATTATAATACCCCCAACACATAGTGTTGTAGGGTATAAAAATGAAAAATAAGAGGAGATCTTAACTTTGGTTGGAAATGTGTGAAAATAAAAGTGAAAAATAATATTCGAAAGTACTTTTTTTAAAAACTATTGTACCTAGATATGTGGTTTATTATGAGATTAATAGTGAAATTTTGTTTAGAAGATTTCTTCTCTGGACATCTTCCGGCTAAAATGAAATTTTGTGGCACTTTCAGGAGTCAACTCGAAAAAAAGTCCGAGAAAAAAATTATCAAAAAATTAGGAAATATTTTTATTTTTTTTTTTGACAAAACTGATGTAAATATTTTTTGATATGCAACGAAATAAGATACTTATTTTCTTCGGTGACTTATAGTGAAATTTGATGAGGAGTGTTTTTGTCTTTGAGGTCATTTTTTTAAATAATGCTGTGATAGAGATTTTTGACCAAACTCGCATAAAGTACGGCTTTAATCCTAAAATGTGTTTCGGATGCATATGAATTCCTGGTGTTTAGGTTAGATTTAGACTTTTGACGTCTTCTAGGACCTACAGTCAAATTTCATGACAAATAATTTTGTAAAATATTTTGACTTGCTGTGATGCCGTTTTAAGGGAGTTTTCAACAATATTTAAAGAATGACCAAAAAATATCCCTTTTTTGACTTGTTTGAGGATTAAAAAGCAGTAAGTTCGGCCAGACAGAACTTTGAATACCCTCCACCATTTGGAGCAAATTTGGATATTTTCAAAAAATAAAATCCGTTAAAATACCGAAATAGCCGTAATATTGGGGTCTATACGACGTGGTCCTACATGGGCATTGTTTGTTGTAAGCCATTACCATATTCATATTCGAAACTTGAAATAAACGGTGAATAATGTAGCTAAAACCATCAAAATACGGTATATAGGGAGGTACCGTTATATCGGAGCTATAGGAAGATCTGGACCTGCAATTTCACACAATGTCACAGGCTGTGGCATCCATTACGAACTTCAAAAACGACATCTCAAACAATTTCGGTGAAAAATGTCGCTAAAATCATCAAAATACCGAATATAGGGAGGTACTGATATATGGGGGCTATACGAAGACGTGGAACTGCACAGTAATTTTTCTGTCTTAGGCTATACTAACCCTTTGGAACTTCAAATATCAAATTTGAAACAATTCCGGTGAATAATGCCGCAAAAATCATCAAAATAGCGAATATTGGGAGGAACCATTATATGGGGGCTATACGAAGACGTGGGCCTGCATATACAATTTTCTGTCTTAGGCTGTAGTATCCATTTTGAACTTTAAATACCTAATTTGAAACAATACGGGTGAAAATGTCGATAAAAACATTAAAATACCGAATATCGGGAGGTACCTTTATATGGGGGTTATATGAAAACGTGGACCTACATGGCCCATTTACGAACTTAGCCTGCCTAATAAACATTTGTGCAAAATTTTAGCCTTCTATCTCAATTCGTTCGAAAGATTGATTACAATAGACAGACGGACAGACAGACGGACATGGGATCATGGGAGACAGACGAGAGGATCGGACGATAATTGCAATCTGAATATAATAATCCTTACCTTTGTTATAAAGTGAAAATATTACAAAATGAACACTTAAAAATTTTATAAGTCATATTTAAAAATAAAAACGAAAAAATAAAAAAATGTCACAAAATACTTGAATATTTATATTAACATCATTATTGGCATCTTTTTATGCGATATTTTTAGATTTTGTACTTTTATGCCAAGAAGGCATTCTGAATTGACAAAATTTGTCAAAATCGGTGCAACTATTCTTGAGATATAAGCATTCTTGCTAACAACTCCTTCCTTTGTATGTACACATTGCATATATTTCGCTATCCGATATATTTAATAGCGGCATCTACGTAATGGTCAGAACTGACCTGTTTGTCTATTTGTGATTTCGCCGGAATAAAAAATGTTCGCGGTTTAATGGAAAACTTGACTTTTATTTAACACAAATGTTATGGTCTATTTCATCCACTAAATAAATGACCATCCAAATTGGAAGGCTTCTACTCAGCCCTAAGATCAAGCCTAATGCTAACTTCCGTTCTGTAGAGCAACTGCAAAATTAGGTAATTATTCAGTTTTTGGTCCATTTCAACCCCTAAATATTATGTGATAACCTCCAAAAGCAATAGGGTACTATTCCGGCTCTAGTCCCACCTCCATTCTAAATTTCGTGAAGACCGGGCCATAATTGCGACCTGTAGAGTGATTAAAAATTAACGTCGAGAGCCGGACAGACGGACGGACATACAAAGCTAGATCGACTCTGCTCGGCGAGATAGGAAGATCCATATATATTTTTCTATGTGGGAAACCAATATTTCGAGGTGTTACATAATTTTTGGCCAATCAAACTTATAATACCCCCAACACATAGTGTTGTAGGGTATAAAAATGGCAAAAAATACTCCTTTTCTTGAGTTGCTTGAGGAATATCATTTTCTATCAAAACAATTCTTTGCAATATTGCCAAAAACACTATGTATCTAAAATGCACGGATTCAGAGGAATCTCAATCCGATAATTGCCAAAAGTGTTAAGAGGGGGTTTCTTTTGCTGATATTTTTTCAAAGTTTTTCAAATTGTGGAATTTTTTAAAGTATTTGTTCAGAGTCATATAACGTCGTAATAACGACTTTAAAAATTCTTCGTGAATAGAAAAAAACGTTGAAAGCTCTTCTATAGATAGAAGAAGCATTTAAAGTTTCCCCCGAATAAAAGACATTTTGAAGTTCTTCTTCAAGCCTTTCATAGCTTTCTATGCTGTTCTTCTTCCTATAGCTGACATTTGAATGTACTTCTTTGAAGAAAAACGACTTTTAAAAGCTTCGACATTTCAAAGCTCTTCTATCCACCAAGTACATCCTAACTCTCTTACATGAACAAAAGACTTCTGAAAGCTCTACCTTGGTTAAAAAACAGATTCAGTCTCCACTGTGGATAGAAGACTTTTGAAAGTCCTACTATGAATAGAAGACCATTTTAAGTTCTTTAAGAGTAATAAAATTCCATGGAAAAATATGTATTTAAATCTCTTCTTTGGATAGAAGATTTTGAAGAAAGCTCTACTATAGATGGAAGACTTTGCAACTCTATTATAGATAGAAGACCTTTCCTAACGCTCTTGTATGGAGAGATGACCTTTCAAAGCTCTGCTATGGATAGAAACACTGAAAAGCTGTAATATGGATTTGTAATACTTTAAAGCTCTACTTCTCTAAACGTTCGACTATGGGAAGTTCAGAGTTTTTTATGTATAGTCTTTTAAAGCTCTTTCATAGAGTTCTATTTTAAAGTGTTTCCATAAATAGGACCCCTTCCAAAAATTTACTATGGAGAGCTTTAAATGGTCTTCAACTTGCAGTAGAGCTTTAAAGTTGTAAAAAAAATAATTAAAATTGACTTCTATTTACATAAGAGTATTTCAAAGTAGTGGTGTTCATAGAAGAGCTTTTAAGTCCCATATCAATAAAATAAAGCTCTTATGCGGATGCTTCTAAAAGCTCTGCTGTGAATATATGAAAATTTAAAGCTTTTCTGTAAACTCTTTTTTGGACGGAAGATTTTATTTTAATTTCTTCTGTAAATTGAGACAATTTTAAGCTTCTCTATGAGTGAAAGACTTTTGAAAGCTTTTCTGGCAATAAGGTATTTTAAAATCTCGTCTGAGAATAGAAAATAATTTTAAGCTCTTCTATGAAGAGCTCTTCTGTGAATAGAAGACATTAGAAAGGTCTTCTGTTCTTAGAAGTTTATTTACAGCTTATGATTATAAGACTTTTAAAAGTTCTTCTGGGAATAAAATACTATTAAAAGATTTTCTATGAATATAAAATAATTGAAAGCTCCTCTATGAATATAAACATTTTGAAAATTCTTCTGTAAATGGAAGTTAGTTTAAAGCTTTACTTTTATCGTTGGCGGACTCGTTAAAGCTCTTCTGTGTACAGATGACTTTTTGGAATCTCTTCTGTAAATAGAGGCTATTTAAAGCTTCTATATGAAAAAATAATTTTAAACTATTCTATGAAGAGCTCTTCTGCTGATAGAAGATTTTTGATAGCTCTTCTGTGCATAGAAGTCCATGTAAAGCTCTATATTTATGAAGATTGGATTTTTAAAGGCTTTTCTGGGAGTTCTTCTATTGATAGAAACATTTTGAAAATTCATGTGTTAATGGAAGCACGCTTAAAGCTCTACTTGTATGGTTTATGGACTCCTTAAAGCTCTTCTGTCTAAAGAAGACTTTTGAAAACTCAAAACTCAGATATTTTTGAGAAAAAATTTAAAGCTCTTCTATGAAGAGCTCTTCTGTGGATAGAAGATTTTTGGAAGCTCATCTGAGCATAGAAGCTCATGTAAAGCTCTAAAAATAGAAGATAATTTAAAGTTCTTCTTTTGATAGAAACATTTTGAAAATTCATCTGCTAATAGAAGCTCGTTTAAAGCTCTACTTCTATGTTTGATGGACTCGTTAACACTCTTCTGGCTAAAGAAGACTTTTGAAAACTCAAAACTCAGATATTTTTGAGAAAAAAATTTAAAGCTCTTCTATGAAGAGCTCTTCTGTGGATAGAAGATTTTTGGAAGCTCATCTGAGCATAGAAGCTCATGTAAAGCTCTACTTTTATGAATATTGGATTTCAAAAACTTTTCTGGGAATACGATACTATTAAAAGCTTTTCTAAAATTAGAAGATAATTTAAAGTTCTTCTTTTGATAGAAACATTTTGAAAGCTCATCTGTGAATGGAAGTTCGTTTAAAGCTCTACTTCTACGGTTGATGGACTTGTTAAAGCTCTTCGGTCTAAAGAAGACTTTTGAAAACTCAAAACTCAGACATTTTTGAGAAAAAAAATTAAAGCTCTTCTATGAAGAGCTCTTCTGTAGAGAGAATATTTTTGAAAGCTCTTCTGTGCATAGAAGTTAATGTAAAGGTTTACATTTATGAAAGTAGGATTTTTAAAAGCTCTTCTGGGTTACAATGCTATTAAAAGCTTTTCTAAAAATTTAAGTAATTTAAAGTTCTTCTTTTGATAGAAACATTTTGAAAGTTCATCTGTGAATGGAAGTTCGTTTAAAGCTTTACTCTATGGTTGGAAGTCTTGTAAAAGCTCTTCGGTAAAAAAGCTCTTTGGAAGCTCTTGAGTCGATTTCAAGTTCTACTATGTATGGAAAGTCTTTTAAAACTTTACTCTGGCAAGAAGATCTTTCGAAAATCTTCTATTATAGAATTTTCAAAGCTCTTCTATGGATTTAAGATATTCTGGCGATCTTCCATGAATAGAGGAGTCTTTTGAAGCTCCCTGTACAGCTTATTCAATTCTCCATCCCCCCCCCCCCCCCCCCCCCATCACTTACCGGATCCTCCAAAAATGTCAGCAGGCAAAAAGCTGTAAATCCATATTCATTTTGATGTGAGGGATCAAAGAGAAATCCACGATGTGGAAAACTGCCATCATCCAATTGCTGGCCACTTAAGTACTCCAGTCCGCTTTCAATGATACGCCCCTCAATGGCTGAGTATTTTTGACCTTTGATGAAAAATCTTGTCACATAGGCCGTAAGCCAATTGTTTTCGGTGCTCGATGAGGGGCCGAATACACTGTACGCACCATTCGGGTGACGAAAAGACAATTCCCGTTGATAACCGGTGTCGATGAAATTCTTGGCTCTCTCCACCAAAGTGGTTTTATTTTTGTATTGACTTAAGGTTTTCAAATAGTCCAGTATTAAGATATTCGGTACCATATTGATCATATTCTGTTCACCACAGCCGGAGGGTTTCTGCACCAACTTGCCGAGATTTTCAACAGTGGTGGCCATGACATCACCACTTATGGTGAGTACCAAATATTCCGAGTCGGGTACAATGTTCGTTGGTATTTTGGCCTCAAATGTCCGTTTCGTTGATTTATCATGCAACACCGTAAGCAGTTCATCCTGGTTGCCCTCATGACCTATGCCCTCCGGTTCAACTTTGAGTTGGTGTATAACCGTGTCGGAGGTAATCGAGTTTCTGGCCTCAATATAGATTTCAGTGTGACCGATTTTCTGTGGTGCTATTGTAAAGGAGGTACTGCCACCACCGTTGGGCGGAATAGTTAATTTTCGCATTTCTTCCTTTATTTGCAATGGCTGCTGGTGATGATTTGTAAATTGGAATTCTTCTTTGGTATTTAACATTTTCACTTCTGTCTCGAGTTGTTCCGATAAATAATTGAAAATTGTAACGGGTATTGTGAAGATTTCTCCACGCTTTACAGCATATGGTAGATTGACGCTGATAAAGAACGGCTGAAAAGCTTCAATGTCCAAACTGTCGTCCAGCATGCCAAAGCCGCTGTCATCGTTCACCGAGAATGCCCGAACTATCCAGGTGGTTATGGTATCGGGAACTTTAAAGGTCAGGGCGGTGATGGGCTCAAAACTGCAAGAGAAAGACATGAAAGAGCCAATGGTAGTAGACGATTTTTTGGGGAGGAACAAAAAAGCAAAAGAGAAATTAGGATGCTCACACATCGATATCCTTGAAAATCCATGTTTCGGGAAAAACTTGTCTCTTATAGTCGGGCAGATACGAAGGCAGTGGTTCTATGGGAATATCTGAGGAAAATTGGGAAATTTAGTTTCATTTTTTTTTTGTTACGAATGTAGAGAGAAATAGGGAGAGACTGCGAGAGAAGGATAACCTACTGAATGTATGTATTTTATATTTGGCATTTGTAAAGATTATCAGTCCCGATGTATGACCCGGTGTATACTCATAGACATGAGGATTTGGATACTGTTGTCGATAGGCTTTGTCAATGCGTAGATCTCGCATCACCGTCCCCTTTCTTAGAATATTTCTAGCACTGAGCAACATAACACTTTTATCGACCGCCACTATCGATACCCTTGACCTCGGTTGACCTTTTATATTGAAGGTTATATTCTGGCCGGGTTTGACATTTCTCGGTGCATCAATGGTTAACTGAAAATATAGGAAAATTCAATAGAAGTCAGTTTGATTCTGTACTTCAATGGTTACCTGCAAATTAAATAAAAATCAATTGTCTGTGGGGGGAGTACTATTCTGAATTTACCTGATTTTCAAATAGTTCCGGCAAGCGCAGTGTGTGTTCACAATAATGCAAGTCTCCATTAACAATATAATACACAAAGAGATAGGAATTCGGCACCATGGCTATTGTTGGTGTTATTGTAATTTTCAGTGATTTTCGAGGTGTTTCCAGCGGGGGAATATACTTCTGATCAATTATATTACCATGACTTGTTAGGGTATAAATGGCGTAGGGGATGTTTTCATTGGAAGTGATCACAATTTCAAGGGGATCCTTCAAGTCAAGGGAGCTGCAGGGCAGAGCAAAAGAAAAAAGATTATTTAAACAATTTTAAATATTTTTTAATTTTTTTTTTTTGAGTTAACAAACCTGGATATTAATTTAAATTTTTAATTTTTTTTTTTTCAAAAAATAGCTGTCTTTGTTTTTTTTAAATAATTTTTGAAATTAAGTTGGTTTGTGGATATTTTTTTTTAATTTAGCGGAATTGTGATTTTTATACCCTACACCACAAGGTGGTCAGGGTATTATGTCTTTGTGCATTTGACCCATAGTTCCTTTTGATGATATGCATAGAATCACATTCTGAGTCGATTTATGCATGTCCGTCTGTCTTCTGTCTTTTATTGTGCACCAAACGTGTAGTATCAGTCCGAATAGTATGGATTTTTGCACATACGATCAGATTGGACTTGATAATAAGTATGCCAAATTTGATCGAAATCGGTTCAGATATAGGTATAGCTCCCATATATATTCTTCATCGGATTTGCTACTTTTGTCCTCCGCAGCCGTAATATGCACCCTGTAACAACAATATTTGGGGAAATATATCGAATACAGCTCAGAAATACATTTGCTAAATTTTATATATAACTTCGTCCGATTTACCTTTGATTGTGCACGAAACGTCTAATATTTGGCCATATTGGATGAAATTTGGCACTTACGACCGAATTGTGAGTCTAGAAGCTAGTATGTCAAATTTGGTGAAGATCGGTTCAGATATAGCTATAGCTCCCATATATCCGATTTGTCATATTTGTTACCCACAGCCGTAATATGCACTCCAACAAGTGCATACACACGATAATTGGGGAAATATATCAAATACAGCTCAGAAATATCTTTGCCAAATTTTATCGCGTTCGGTTCCGATTTGGATATAGCTGCCATATATATTTTTATCCGATTTAAAATTAATTGTGCACCAAATTGGCAATACAAGTCCGAATTTAAAAGATACAAATGCTTGGGCATATTTAGTTCTTTGAACTTTAAATTATAATTATAATCGTAGCGTGTATGATTGAATTCTCACATAAAAACGTTTAATTGTTATGCGCAGCTCTACTAAATTAGCAAAGTGGTGTAGGGTATCATAAAGTCGGCCCCGCCGACTTTAAGACTTTCTTTACTGGTTTAAAATATTTTTGGCGAAGTCTAGGAGACTAGTGAATTTCAGAGAAAACCATTGCACAATGGACCCACTACCATATATTCTGTCCCTAGCAACCAACAGTGGCTTCAATATCAAAATTCAGAATTCAAGCTCCATCCCCAAACACTTACTCAAAAAAATCTACATATCTTTATCCTAATAGTACTCCTTAGTACTTTTAAAGCAATTATAGCAGACATTTGCAAAACAACCGCCAGATCTCTACACCAGATACCAACAGAGACCTTAATATTGAATTCCGAGATTCCAGCTCTATCCCTTCACCCAGTATCATTTGTACTATTTGTACAAATATATGTAGTACTCATTTTCAAGACCACCTCCATATCAATCCCGTATACCAACAGAGACCTCAATGTAGAATTTGGGGATTAGAGTCATATCCCTTCACTAAATAGCAAATATAGTAACATTCAGTACTTTTCGTACATTTCAGATTTCATGTACTATCTGTTCACCCAATACCAAATTTTGTTACCATTTAGTACTTTTTCGTACAAATAAAGGATGCATTTCGAAACTACTGCCAAATATCAAACACAGCTACACAAATATCAAATTTCGAAATTTTATCTCAATCCCTTCACTGAATAGTGCAAGACCATCTCCATACTTGAAATATTGATGTGGTTTCATATGAACATGGAACATAATACCAAATTTCAGATTTCAAACACTATCTGTTCACCCAATACAAAATTGTACCAAATATAGTACACTTTAGTAATTTTCGTACACATTTTTAATTAGATCTTAAATTTACATCCATCCACCAACAGGGATCCGAATACCAAATCTTTGAAATTCCAGCTCCCTACATCCAATATCAAATTTAGTACTTTTTGTACATTTCCAAAACCACCCCCATATCTCAATCCCAGATACTAACAGAGACTTCAATATCAAATTTAAGAATTTCAGCCCTATCCCTTCGCCCAATACCAAATTTAGTATCATTTAGTACTTTTTCGTACAAATAAAGGACGCATTTCGAAACTACTGTCAAATCTCAAACACAGCTACACAGATATCAAATTTCGAAATTTTATATCTATCCCTTCACTGTATAGCAAATATAGTACCATTTCGTACTTTTTGTACTATTATAGTACACATTTGCAAAATCAACTCCATACTGCACATATGGAGGTGTTTTCACCTGAACAGCGAACATAATATCAAATTTCCGATTTCAAGCACTTTCTGTCCACCCAATACAAAATATTACACTTTAGTAATTTTCGTACACATTTTTAAATTAGATCTTAAACCTACAACCAACAGAGATCCCAATGCCAAACCTTTGAAATTCCAGCACTATTCCTTCAACCAATACCAAATTTAGTACTATTTAGTACTTTTCGTACAGTTATGAAAACATTTCCTTAATGTAAAATTTGAGGATACCAAATATCAAATTTAGTACTATTTAGTAGTTTTCGTATAGTTAAGACCACATTTCCAAATTCACCTCCACATTTCAATCCCAGATACCAACAGAGCCTTCAATATTAAATTTGATGATTGGGTGAAGGAAGTGGCTAATCCTTCACCCAACACCAAATATAGTACCAATTCGTACATTTCATACAAATATAGATCACATTTCCCAACCATCGCCCATTATGAAGCACAGATACCAACAGTAATCCCTTTTCCAAAACCACCTCTTTATTACGAACCTACTATCAGCGGGGATCCCAATACAAAAGTTCAAAATGTCAGCTTCATCCGTTCACACTAAACTAAACTGTTCCAAAATTAGTACCATTCAGCACAGTTCCCTCACCTAGTACACATTTCCAAAACCACCTTTATATATTAAAACATACTTTCCAATCTTGATTCTCATTCAAAATTTCAAGTTTTTAGCTTTATTCCTTCGCATAATGCCAAATGGTACTATTTTAGAAATTTTGGTAACATTTTAGAACATTTATCAAATTTAAAGATCGAATATCCAACTACACTTTGGTGCATCTATCATGCACTCCAACAGTGATGCTCATACCTAATTCCTGAATTCCAGCTCCATCTGTTCATCACAATTCCAATTTGTACCAAATTTAGTACTATTTAGTACACATAAGCACGAATTTCCAAAGCTTCCGAAACATACCAATCCTACATTTCCACAATAACCCCAATTCGAAATTTTAGGATTTCACCCCTCTTTTTTCGCCCATATACAAATTGTACTTTATTTAGTACATTTTAGTACACATAAGTATAAATTTTCAAAATAACCTACATATCCCAAACCCACATTCCGACAGTATTTTTTTTTTAAATTTTCAGGATATCATCTCTATTGTTTCACCCAAATATAAATTATACCAAATTTAGTACCATTTAGTACACTTAAGTTCAAATTTTCATAACTGTCTACATCATATGGTCCAATAGAAATCTTATTTTCAAATTTCAGTATTCGACCTTAACTGGTTCACCCCAAAATTTAAATTTAGTCCCATTTAGTATACAAAAGTACGAATTTCAAAACTACCTACATATCCCAATCCCAAATTCCGACAATAGTCTTATTTCGAATTTACAGGATACCAACTCTATTGCTTCACCCAAATCCAAATTGTACCAAATCTATTACGATTTAGTACACTTAAATACAAATTTTCATAACTCCCTAAATCATACAGTCCAAAAGAAATCTTATTTCCAATTTTCTGGATTCCAACTCTATTGGCTCTTCCAAAATTTAAATTGTACAAAATGTGGTACCAATTAGTACCATTTAATTACGAATTCCCAAAAATACCTACATACCAGGCATTAGTAATCTTATTTCAGCACTATTGGTTCACCTAACTCCAAAATTCCTCAAATATATAGTACTATGTAGAGTACACTTAAGTACGAATTTCCAAAGTTCCTGCATACCCCAATCCTACAAACCCACAGGAATTCCAATACCAAAGTTCAGTATTACATTCTTATCGCCGGTTCGCCTAAATACAATTTGTACCAAATGTAGTGCCATTTAGTATTATGTCGTTCCAAAATTGCCTAAATTCCTCAGTCCTAGAAAGCAATCGTAAACTTATTTCTAAATTTCAGAATCCTAGCCCTATTGGTTCATCCGAATCGAAATTGTAGCAAATTTTGTACCATTTAGTACTTTTCGCGCACATAGGTACAATTTTCGAAAACTTCCTCCAACATCCCAATCCTATACTCCGCCAGTAATGTTAATTTCCAGCTCCATCCGTTCCTCCAAATTCAAGTTGTACTAAATTTAGTACCGTTTAGTATTTTTCGTACACCTGAGAATACACTACCAAAACTACCTCCTTACATCGATTTTACTGCTCAACCTTGATTCTCATTCCAAATTTCAAGTTTTTAGCCCTAACCGTTTACATGATACAAAATGGTACCAAATTTAGTACATTTTAGTACTTTTCGTAAAATGCTAATTTCGAACAAAAACCCTTTGGTACGTCTATTATACACTCCATAAGTGACCCTTATTCCATATTTAATAGTTCTTGCTCTACTGCTTCCTCAAATACAATGGGTACTATATTTAGTACCCTTTAGTACTCTTAGTACAAATTTCCAAAAACCCTGACTTATCTGACCCATTGGAACCCAGAATGACCCTAACCCATAATTTCAAGATTCTAGCTTTAGCTGTTTCGTCTGGACGAATTTTTAAGATAGCCAGTCAGTTGGTCAGTCAATCAGTCGGTTAGCCAGTAAACCAGTAATTTAGTCAGTCTGTCAATTACTTTTCTCTTTTATTAATACTGATATATTTAATCTGAATTTCGTTGCACTTACCCCCTTGGCAGCACCTTAATTTTGCAATTCGATTCGTCATAAACGTAGCTATGCTCCTCCCCAAACATGCTATTCAACCGAAGTATTGCCTCTTTATATTCAAATCTATAATTCGAAACATTATCTGCATCCACTTGAAATCGGGCCACACCATTTTCATTTAGCACAGAACTATATTTCTTCTCATTGATAAACATGTCCACGGTCGTCTGGGAGTCCTTCACTGGCGTACCATTCCACTGCTCAACGTGAACATTAAAACGATAAGGTTTTCCTTGGCGAAATTCAATTTCAGAATGCGGCAAAAATATATTATATGGATCACGCTGTAGGATCACCTGGCTATCGGCTTGAGCTGTTACATTGCTATGACGCTCCCTTAGCTGAGCTCGTACATAGAGCAATCCGGCATAAGATAGTTCGTCTATGTCGAGCAAAACTTCTGCCTTGACATCACCCGGTCCAATGTGGGCCGTAATATTGCTGGCCGTATAACCAATTCTATCTTCCAGATAAACATCAACTATGCCCTCAACATAACGGCCATAGGTGTACTTGCCATAAATTGTGACCGGAAGGAAGCGTTCCTTTGTCACCATATTTGTGGCATGTTCAATGTGAACACTAAACTTGGGCAGAACATATTTTTGCACTTTGAAGTAGTATTCATTGTTCATGTTGTATTTGCCACTGATGAACACAGAAATGGTCCATTCGCCCCATGTGGGTTGTTGCGATATTTGGAATTTACCAGCGTAGATGCCACGATCCAGTTGTATGTCCTTGAATTGTTTAACGCGATTCTTCTCGGGGTCCTAAATGCAGGGAGAGAGAGAGAGTGAGAGAAGAATATTACATTACAAAATGGTAAGCAAAAATTATAAAGGGTGATTTTTTGGCTATTATATATTTGGTTTCGTTGTTGTTGTTGTTGTAGCAGTAGTACATGCATCTGTTGGCGTTCTGCTAATCTGGTTCCAGCTCCAGGTTTAAAAATTCGCCTACTTTAATGGCCTGTAGCCAGAGATCTTCTGGAGTGAGTTGGGTAAGTTTGGCTGTGCATTTAAAGAGGTGCAGCGTATTGTGCGGGCCTGTATCACACGCCGGGCAGGCGTCACGCACATCTTCATCAATTCGTGCCCAATACGAATTGAGACGACTACACCATCCTGAACGTAATTGCGCCAAAACTACCCTGGTTTGTCTAGGCAGCTGACGTTCTTCAGCTACAATGGATGGGGGGTGGACTCCGAGGACGGCATTCATTTTATAACTGCTAGCAGCATCTGCGACTGCATCGGTATGAATGCCACTCAGACCTTGTTTCACTGTCAAGCATCTTCAGTTTGGTCTAAAATTTATACATGAATCGTCTTACAAAAGAACGACGCTTTAAAAATATCTGATGGCTGAAGGTAGAATCTTGAAATTTTGCGTGAGGGTCACTCCTGGACCCAAGGGGTCAGATAAGGCTGGGTTTTTGGAAAATCAAACTAGAATGGTACGAAAAATATTTAAAGGTACTAAGTATGGTACCCTTTGTTTTTTAGGAAGCTGTAGAGTTAGAACTCTTAAATTTGGAATGGGGGTCACTGATGCGGTGTATGATAGATGTACCAAAGGGTTTTTGGAAATTTGCACCATAAGTGTACGAAATGTTCTACATTTGGTACCATTTCGTATCATGTGAACGGTTAGAACTAAAAACTTGAAATTTAGAATGGGAATCAAGGTTGAGGAGTAGAGCTGATGTAGGAAGGTAGTTTTGGAAGTATGAGTACACATACATACGAAAAGTACTAAACCGTACTAAATTTAGTACATTTTATATTTGTGAACGTATGGAGCTGGAATTCTGAAATTTGAAATTAACATTACTGGCGGAGTTAAGGATTGGCATATGGAGGTACTTTTCGTTATTTGTGCTTAGGTGCACGAAAAATAGTAAATGGTAATATATTTGGTACAATTTCGATTTGGGTGAACGGTACTAAATTTAGTACAATTAAAATTTGAAGGAACGGATGGAGCTTTATTTATTTGATATTAACATTAGTGGCGGAGTGTACGATTGGGATATGGAGGTACTTTTCGAAATTTGTGCTTATCTGCATGAAAAGTAGTAAATGGTACAAAATTTGATACAATTTCGATTTAGGTGAACCGATAGGGCTGTAATCCTGAAATTTAGAATTGGGGTTACTGTGGTAGTGTAGGATTGTGTTATGTAGTAAGCTTTGGAAATTCGTACTTATGTGTAGTAAATAGTACTAAATTTGATACAATTACGATTTGGGTGAACCGATAGAGCGAGAATTCAGAAATTTAGAAATAAGATTACACTTGTATTCTAGGACCAGGGAATGTAGTTAGTTTTAGTTAATAGTAAATGGTACTAAATTTGGTAGAATTTAAATTTTGGGGGAACTCATAGAGTTGGAATACTGAAATTTTGAAAATAGGATAAATAATGCATTGTAGGACTGCATATGTAGGTAGCTTTGAAAATTCGTACTTATGTGTATTAAGTGGTACTAACGTAAATTTGGTACAAAGTAAATTTTGGGGGAACTCATAGAGTTGGAATCCTGAAATTTGGAAAAGGATTAATAATGCTTCGTAGGGCTGACGTTTGTAGGAAATTTTGGAAATTTGTACTTGATGGTGCTAAACTTGGTACAGATCAAATTTTGGGTGAACCGGTAGAGTTGGAATCGTGAAATTTGAAAATATGATCTCTATTGGATTGTATGATGTAGCTAGTTATGAGAATTTGTTCTCTATGTGAACTAAATGGTACTAGATTTTGTACAATTTGAATTTGGGGGAACCAATAGGGCTGGTATCCTGAAAATTGGAAATAAGATTACTATCGGAGTGTAGGATTGGTATATGTAGGTAGTTTTGGAAACTTCTAATTATGTTCTAAAATGTACTAAATAAAGTACAATTTGTATGTGGGCGAAACAAGAGGGCTGTAATCCAAAAATTTGGAATTGGGATTCCTGTGGGAGTGTAGGACAGAGGTATGTAGGATGCTTTGTGAATTCGTACTTATGTGTACTAAATGGTACTATATTTGGTACAAAATAGAAATTGTGATGAACCGATGGAGCTGGAATTTTGAGATTTGGAATGAGAGTCACTGATGGAGTGCATGGATAAATGCACCAAAGGGTTATTGATAATTCAAACTTTTAATTAAGGAAATGTTCAAAAATGTTAGTAAACCTCTAAAATGGTGCCACACACAATACCAATGTGAACGGATAAAGCTAAAAATGTTTGATATATGAAGGTGGTTTTGGAAATGTGTACTAAGTAAGGGAACTGTACTAAATGGCATTAAATTTGACAGTTTTGTTTAGGGTGAATGAATGAAGCTGGAAATTTTGTACTGGGGCCCCTGTTGGTGGTAGGTTTGTGATAAAGAGGTAGTTTTGTACTATATTTGGTATAATTTGCTAGTTGGTGGACAGATAGTCCTCAAATTCTGAAATTTGGTATTAGGGTCCCCATTGATGTGTAAACTGGACATGTGGAGTGGATTCGAAAATGTATACCAAAATGTATACGAAGAGTTCTGAATGGTACTATGTCTGGTATTTGGTGAAGAGATAAAGACAAAATTGGGAAATTTTATATTTAGATAACTGAGGGTATCTGTGTTTGAGATTTGGTGGTTACCGACAGCTATTAAAATTATTCCAGTGGCAGCTCATTAAATTGTTAACAAGTGTACAAAATTTGGTAAGAATTGTCCAGAAAAAAAGTTATTCGTGATGGAATTCAAGCGTGATAGTGTGATTTCTTTATATTTGGCTGGAAGACCACAAGTGCCTATCGTTAGAACACTCCAGCATTTAAATGTGAATTAAATGTGTCTCGTACCATCACTCGTTACCGTGATACTGGTAGCGTAGCCCGACGTCAAGGAAGTGGACGGAAGAAAACAGCAACATCAGGAGAAATGGTTCGAAAAGTAAAGAAACGACTTGATCGAAACCCGTACCGCAGTGGCCGAAAAATTGTTCGTGAGCTGAACATATCGCAATATTCCATTCGGCAAATATTGAGAAATAAGCTCCGGATAAAGCCGTGGAAATTCCAAAAAGTACAAGAACTTACCCTGCAACAGGAAGAAAATAGACTCAAAAGAGCTAAAGAGTTCCTTCGCTTGGCCGAAAGTGGTGAACTGCTGAATTTGGTTTTTTCCCGATGAGAAAACATTCGTTGTCCAGCAGAGCAGTTTGTAAACGAACAAAATGATCGTGTTTGCTTGCCAAAGAGGCCAGCTGAAAATGTGCACCTTCGGTTGGCCAGCACAACTCAAGCGCCGGTCATGGTGATGGTGTGGATCGCCATAACAGCCGATGGTCGCTCTGCGCTCGTATTAATTGACCGTGGCATCAGAATAAATGCCGAATATTATCGCGAAGATATTCTGCAGGGTGTATTAAAGCCTCAGGCACACAAACATTTCGGCCGCAGACCTTGGACCTTCCAACAGGACTCAGCACCTTTGCACTCTGCACGCGCCACCCAAGAATGGTTAAAAAATGAGGTACCTCGTTTTATTTCGTGCGCACAATGGCCACCAAAATCACTGGAGTATTTTGAAAAGCAAGGTTGGCACTAAAAAATACCAAAGTGTCGATCACCTCAACCAAGCTCTTCGCCGGGAATGGGGCAAAATACCGCAGAGCAACATTCGGCCACTATGTGACGGTTTCATTGGCCGGTTGAAGGCCATAATTCACGCCAAGGGTGACCAATTCGTAATCTAAACTTATTCTAAAAGATGATGCTATTTCCGAACTTTTTTGCTTTCATACAATAAAATTAAAAAAAATGTAAAAATTATGGCGTTTGACTTTGTTGCAGTTTTTTTTATCTCACCTTGTATTATACCTGGGTTTATAGTTAATTTTGAGACTTATGATAAAATTTCGTGTAGAATATTTTCTTCTTCAAGATCTTTTATCTTACATGAAGTTTTAGGTTACTTACATGCCTCAACTCAAAAAAATACCTAAGAGAGATCCATGAAAAAAGAAAATATTTTCCGAATTCAAAAAAGGTTGTTTTTTAACCCACAATTTTTATGGTAAATATTAAGTTTAGACATTTCATTTGTTCCGAGACGTATAATGAAATTTGATCTAGAATAGTTCTTCCTTTAACACTTTCCGCATAAAATCACATATTAAAGTAGAATTTGTCTCAGAATAAAAACTTATTATATTAACAGTAAAAAACGTGGCCACATAATTTTCACTTTTAAAAGACATATTTTGAATGTAATTTTCTTAAAAACTATTATACCCAGATATATAGTTTATTCCGAGACTTATGCTGAAATTTTATGTAGAGGATTTCTTTCTTTAAGATTTTTTCCTAAAATGAAATTTTATGTTACTTCCATGCCTAATGTGACCATTTATATTTTTCGTCAGAGCGGGAGGCCTGCGGAATTTTGTAAAAAAAAAATTATGCATTTAAAAAAAATTTTATTCAAAAACGGATAGAATACGTATAAATCTAATTTATGAAATTAATCTTATGTCTAAGTATTTGTTTTATATTTGTCAGCTGAGCAAATTAGTTTTAAAATATCGGGTCTAGTTTTCAAATAGGAATGGAGCTGATTACATTGTTTGTTGATGTTAGTCTTAGTAATTAAAATAGCCTTTAAAACTGTCACACTTAACTGCGTTTTTTCACTTGTCCATATTTTATTCATTAGGGAAAAAACTCTTTCGACAGGTGCGTTACTTCCAGGCATACATAAAACATACTCAATAATTGTGCGAAA